CTGACAAACTTAGAAACATAATCGGGGCGAACCGGGGTTCAAACCCACAATCATAGGTTTCTGGCATGCCCAAGGGATGCAACTCTGCACAGCAAATAGCGGCGCCTTAGACAACTGGGCCATCCGTGCCCCCTCCCTAATTAAGAAAATGCACACAAATCCTTTTCATTTCTGTTCAGTTAGACAAATGCAAGGATACCTTATTTCTCAGATGTCTCAACCTGCGATTCTCAACCATTATATTTTTCAAATTTGTAGTGTTCTTCTTTCAACACAACTAAATCTAAAACACACATTAACTCAACCTTTGCTTGACCAGATATAATATTAACCTCTACATAAAAAAAAGTTCACTTTTACTTATTTTACAAAGGTAATCCACTTTAAGTTTCCACTTAATTTCTTTATAGAAACACAAAACATTACATTTCATTCAACAAGACACTGGAAATACTACTACATAATGTTGATAGAAGACACGAATGTCCAGGGATGCAACTTGGCATAGTCTGCTAGCCCAAGTCAGTTTCTCAAATGTTACCAGGTATCCTGAGGGCTTGTAGAATGTTGTACTTTCAATGTAGTGTCTTTGTTTACATAACCACTATTCATTCTTCTCAATATTACTGCTTAATTTGTATTCCTGAATGCAGTCTGTACCAAATCCTTTCAGGCTAAGAGCTAAAACATGTATTTTGGCCTTATTTTTAGTTGATAATAGACATAGTATTCCACTCAAAAGAAGTATTAGACCACTCAATTCTTTCATATTACCATAGTTAATCTATATGGTAATATGCAAGAATTGGGTTGTCCTTAAATTTTGTTTTAATACTATATACGGCTAGTACAAGCTGATCTTACTGTACCAGTGGATGAAATCACAGACTGTGAATGTAGATACATAAATATTAATTCAGTCTCTTAACAAAAATTATTCAAGCCAGCACTATCGCAAACAAAGTTTCAAGCAAGAATTTCATGACATTTTCTCCTTTCCCAACATACTTACCTCTCCACAACCACATCACATCACATCAAATAATGTACATACACACAGGGCAACAGGCAGCATGTTGTATCTGGAAAAGCGTCCCTCACAAAAGCCGTAATAAAGTTGCCACTGTTGTTTATGTATTATGCATGTTTGAGAGCCCGACGGAAATGTCAGATGCCAACAGAGGACTTGATATTAGTGAGAAGGAATCGCAAATAAAATTCCATACACTGAGTACCAACAGGTCTACATAAAACTGCAGTCTAAGCTGTTCCAATTCACGACATGCTGTAATGTTAACACTAATGTTGACAGCTTATACAAGGCCATGTCTCCATGTACAAATATTTGCATCTTGTAGCATTTTGGAATGCTCCAAACGTTATTATGATAATAGCAAAGGTATTTGTTTGATATTTTTGTTTCTTCAAAGAAACTCTTTCTTCCCAACTTGCTTTCATTACATATTTCTTCTGAAGTAAATATTTCCCTATGATAATTCTAGACAATTCAGTTTTATTTATAGCTATCTAGGTTAGATCTACAATTCTGAAATATCTTGCCTTTGAAACCCTGATACTTCCCCCGTACATTTATACCTGTATACAAAACTTACAATCTCTTTTCAAATTGGTTGAACAAACATAAAATAGTTTAGTCAAGAAAGTTTTTCATTAACTTGGTTTCCTTTCAACAGAAGGCTCTTCCATGATAAAATCAGCGGGGATGCCTAGTGGTTAACGCATTAGCTCATCACGCCAAAAGTCTTGGTTCGATTCCCCACTTGGGTAAATTGAGTAAGGCCCATTTCTGGTGTCCCCTGCTGGGATGTTAGAATATTGTTAAAAGCGGTGTAAAACTACTCACTCACTCATAAACATACACTTGTAGCCACACACATTGTTCATCTTTGACGATAAAAATCTAATTCTCCACAACATGTCGAGAAGATGTAAAAAGTTTTTCCTATCGACAATATAGAGCCCAGTCACCAAGAGAATATGACTCATGAGATTTCTACCACTGCTACCTAACTAGCCAAATCAGAAATTCCAGGATGGCTTTTGGCGAGTGAATATTTGCAAGAATGGTTGTGCAAGTCCCACGCAGCTTCATGATTTGTACCAGATCTTGGTCAAGTTAAGATTACATGGCTGAAGAAACAACTAGCCACCAAGACTGACCTCAATCAGTTCCACCGCACATACCGCACACAACAAAAGCATAATCAATATACTTCCAGTGAAACGGCCCCATGATGACCTATTTCAAAGACTGCTCAAACTTCATCCTGATGCAGGTCATGTCAAATACTGCTGACCTCTCCTGCCTCAATCAAAGATCAAACAATGACCTGGCTATCAGCAAGTGCTGTACACGATCCTGTAGTGTGTTTGAGCGAGTCAATCTTCCAGTCCACCACCCCGTGTCATCACTTGTTCTCCCACAGGCCAATATCATCATCACCCCTCGTCAGCCTCATCTTGTCCTTGCCAATACCAGCTATTGATTTAAGACAGTGCACTTGCTCAAGCGTATCTCCATCGTCTGTACCCTCGCAAAACAATCATTGCGACCTGCTCTTCTTTACTCATAATTGTTTGCACTTCATTTTTTTGGTTGGTCCATTTGATCAGCTCGAAACCATATTCTCATCAGGTCTGGGTTGTTTGAGGCTGCTCATATGACCATGTAAGAGTATTTTAGCATGTGGTGTGAGTGAGTGAGTGAGTGAGTGAGTGAGTGAGTGAGTGAGTGAGTGAGTGAGTGAGTGAGTGAGTGAGTGAGTGAGTGAGTGAGTGAGTGAGTTGCCATTCACAAAGTCTCACTCTTGTAATTTCAGGACTGGCTTGACAAATTGTACCATGGGGGCACTGAACCTTGAGGAAATGTAACATGACTGGCATATCGCCCAAGAGAATTTCATAAACTGCAGATCTGATGATATCATATTGATCAGATTATGCTTTCCAAAATAAATATTGATACTGATGTTTGGCGTGTTAAAATAAGCTACAAAGAAAAGCATCAGACTGTGCATCAATTTCATGAGCAGGGAACACACATCTTGCCACCAACAGGTTGGAAATAGGTTCTGATGTAACAAAACATCACCAAACAATAAATCAGACATCTAAAAACTTGAAAACAACCACAAGTGTAATCTGCCTCAGCCTCAGGAACTCACAGCCCAAACACAATCCCCATTTCATATGATTTATGCAGCAAACTGTCTACTGCACCCAACTCCTTACCAATCGCTTCCCAAACACGAGGGTCTATTTAACATGTCAATTCCAAAGGAGTGCAAACTTTTATGTGCGAAACCAAACTCCTGAAAAATATTGATCTGCCTCACTGCATCACTTGCACCATGGACTTGAATCTAATAAAAGCAGAGTGAATTTCATAAGCTGCCACTGACGAGACCCGACCACTACCAGATCAACGACAGGAGCAATTCAATTACTTGAAGACACTGCTGAGAAGAAGTGGCTTCCCAACATGCTTAGTCCAGGAATTCAATTCTTCTTGCATTCTTCCACCATTTAATACATCTCAGAAGGCTTCAGAACATCTCTATTTTCAGTACTAGTTAAGTCTGGCGATCTCGTGCCAGGCTTCCTTATAAGGTCAAACCTGGCTACTACGACTGGAGTTTGTCTTTCTGATGTTTGGGTCATTACGCAAAAGAGGACATTTTCAAGATCGGGGGATGGAGTGTCTGCACCAGGCAGCAGGTAAGAGATAAAGAGTTGAGGTTTGCAGTGGCGCTCATCAACACCACCAGACACAGCAGTACTTGCTTATTGATAGATGAATTTGAGAAATACACAAAATAGCCTTCCTTTTTGACACACCTCTCATGGAGACAGTATGATGAATCCAACTGATGAACCTCCTTTCTAAATCACAAGCTGTTCATGTAAAAACATCATTTGTCGCTAAGAAACACAGCAGCCCCTTTTCCAAGAACTCACCTTGAAATGTCTCATCTATATATCAAGTGCTTGAATCTTATACTGTTGCTGTGGTTGAAAGAATGGGATGCTGAGGTCCTAGAGTGTTTGGGTTAGTATTCTTAATTTTGAGATCCCACGAGTCTTTCATTAAGACATATGATCCCTTAATAATACAACCTCTGACTGCAACATGAGATGTATTCAGGCATAGGCAAACCAAGGGATGATAGTTGGAACATGTACATTATCAGGAAAAGAAACCTGTGTTCAAAGCATGAAAGCCAAGGGGTTCTAATAGCCTAATGTTGAAGGTTCAACATCTAGGTGGTCCCAAATAATTCAAATAACATAGAAGACCTCCAGAACATAAAACATCAGCTTCAAACATATCTGTCTACACATTTTCATGGCAACAGTCTCATTATTTTCTTTGTTCTACGGCAGTATCACCATTACCTATACTACTTCCTTTTTATGTCACATTCTGAGCATACATGTGTATGAGTTTTGTGCTATGTAACGTATTATTATTATGATCCCCAGGACACACATCAATTTCAAACACTGCATGCACTACAACAAGATCACCATCGTCACAGATAGGAATTGTCTGGTCAGGCATCATCCAAACAAGTGTCATCCATACTTGGCATACACTGTGACCATTAAGGACCCCATCTATCAAATATTGCAGTCTTCTTAGGGTTTTCCTCGACAGGTACCACCATGAGAAGACATTTCTTTGTTGTTTAACGCCATATTCAGCAATATTCCAGCTATATGACGCCAGTCTGTACAGAATCTAGTCTGGACCAGACAATGCAGTGATAGACATCATGAGCATCTGTCTATGCAATTGGGATATGATGACATACATCAACTAAGTCAGCAAGCCTGGCCACCCAATCCCGTCAGTCTCCTCCCTCTTTCGACAAGCATGGGTTGCTGAAGGCAAATTCTAACCTGTATTTTCACCAGGCCCAAGAGACATTATCAGTGATGGCTGAGATCGGATGGCATGCCTAGCAATGTGTACTCACCTTGAAATGAAGCGTGGTTCTCTTGTACCAGGCGTACATGTTGTGGGGTAAGGCGCCAGACAGCAGGGTGCTGTTTTACCTCAATACTGGCACACACCTGACTCTCCCCATGCAGGAAGAAGTTGAAGCAGAAGGACAGGTGGGCACTGAAACACAACACACACAATGTTAATCACTTTCTGGCTAGCAAGTCAAATCAGCTGCAGCAGAAATTATTTCCCTTGGGGAGTTCTTCATTTGAATTTTGAAAGGTTAATGTGCTCAGTAGTGCTTATATCTTCAAAATTCTTAAATAGATTTAGTCAAAAAATTAATTTGAAAGATTGAACAGATCGTACAGTTGCTACTTTCAGGATTGGATGTTTTTGGCTCAAATGTAAAAACAATTAAGTTTTCAAGAATGACTTAAAAGAGATGGGTGTATGTGCACTATATTTAACTTTCTAGTTATGGGGGACATTGTACCCATGGGGTGAATCGAAACCGTGTCTTCGGCGTGAGGAGGGAACGCATTAACCACTAGGCTACCCCACCACCCCTTCTACAATACAAAGCCACTCATGTTAAAAACAAAACATCCTGTGAAGTTTGTCCTTGTAAGCTACAGGGAAAAGGTAGTGTGGAACCTCCCTGTGGTGCCATCACATCCACATCATACCATCATACATAGTAACTGTTGCCTGAGAAACCAGGTGGACAGGTGAGCATACTGATAACTGAGAGAGTCAGGCTGGTTCATCTCCTGGGACATGGTCATCAAAACTGTCCTGAAGATTTGTTTAAAATTTGTAATGTTACAGAATGATGCAAACATGGTAGTCTGTGACTTTAACCACTAATCCATAGGATAAATCTAGTAAAATGTCTTTCGGGATAATAAGCTTTGCTAAAAGAAATTATGTCAAGTGACAGGCTCAGACTAGTAGACTCAGAAGCTTTTAGCAGTCATGGTAAAAGGAAACTGTTGAATTGTGAGAATGTCACAATGACAGTTGTCTCTACAAAAATTGATGTAATCCGTGCATTGTCAACCAATGTCCTCTGAATCTGTCAACAATGCCGATACACTGGGAAACTGAGGGGCAGTCTGTTTCCTCTGAAAGTTTTAAAATTAGGTTATGAACCATGACTCTTAATTTTGAACACAGCGTCATAGCGAGAGTGTGGTTTTACACCGCATTAAGCAATATTTCAGCAATATCACAGCAGGAGACACCAAAAATGGGCTTCACAAATTGTACCCATGTGGGGAATCGAATCAAGCTCTTGGGCGTGACGAGCCAACACCATAACCACTAGGCTGTCCTATACCAACTAAAATATATTTCCTTTTACCACGTTTACATCATTTTACATCGGGGTTTTTTTTGCCTATGACAAAGTTTTATTTTTCAAATCCAACTAAACCGCTTGTTTGTAACGTTAATTTCACTTTTCTCTCCATTAAAAGCAACTATTACTAAAGCAGCTATTTCACAATGTGAGTGATTTGGGTTTTACACTGCTTTTACTTTTAACAATATTTTCACAATGAGTGAGTGAGTGAGTGAGTATGGTTTTACGCTGGTTTTACGCTGCTTTTAGCAATATTCCAGCAATATCACGGCGGGGGACACCAGAAATTGGCTTCACACATTGTACCCCTGACAGGAATCGAACCCGGGTCTTTGGCGTGACGAGCGAACGCTTTAACCACTAGGCTACCCGACCGCCCCTTTTTCACTATGAATTTCAGAAGTACTTGATACAGATTCATAAGGTACAACAAAATTGCCAGTGCTAATCTTGAGTGAGCTGTTACCAAAACATTACATAACAGTGTAAGTGCTCCTGACTAAAGCAGGAAGTATTAATCTTGGCCATGTAGTGAACAACCCCAGTTTGTTGCATTATTTTGAAGAGCCCATCACCCAAGACCTCGAGATGTATGTATGGAGAACGCTGATCCTGAACAGTGGCGTTCCTGGGCTTTCATTAACGTAGCGTTACATGCAAAGGTGAGGCTTCATGTAATCAGATTAAATCACACAGACAAGCACATCAAAACACAGTCACTTCCTGCTATGATGGTCGATGGAGAGCAAGCTCGGCAGGACTTCAGGAAATACTTCTGGGCTCTTGCATAGCTGACAAGCAGGTCGTGTGTACACAAACGGAATTTCAATTAAATGTTCCCATTTTAGTGGGTCAGGCCTTGAAAAGCAAAATGAGAATTTTTGGGTTACAATTTCCATCACCAAACATTCATCGGTTATATGGCCAACCAGGCGAATGTACCTGTAACTTTCACTGGCGAGATGACAGTTGAATTTACTTCAAATCAATGTCTACTACTGCCAGCAAAACCCAATTATCCTTCCCAGGATGTGTTGATAGATATGAATCTTGACAGCAACGAAAAAGTTGTGAAAATAGCTCTAGGATAGGATTATTAAAACAAGCCCCCACAGGTCCAAAGTCTGATCATTTGAACATAGTCTGAATACAGTCCTGTTAGTGTGACTATTTTCATCAACCTACATCACAATAAAGACTGATTCTCGAGGAAACCACATATCGACAAACTCAATTGTTTTAGAAACTTCGTGGCACAGCGATTATTCAAATGAAACCTTCTTAAAATCCCATTAATGCAAAGCTCTTATCTGATGAATAGTTTAAGTGTGTTATCCATTAACTTGATAACCTCGGAAAGAGCGAATGCTTATCAAAAAGGTTGATAGGGGTTGGGATGACCTAACAATCAATAGTCGTCGTTAGGAGATACAAGCTTTGCTCATTTCACTGGGAGAGGTAAATAGGAGTAGTTTTAGATGTGAAATGTTCAGATAATAACTGCATTTCTTCTCCAACACTGGGCAGAGTACGCCAAGTACAATAACAGGATAATGCTGTGCTACCTGCAGACAATATTGATGTAATCTGCAAATGGGTATTGATTTGTCCTGAAATACTTTCAGCAAACACTACATGCTTGTTGGCAAAATACACTGAATTAGGTAAGTGGACTTAACAATGATTTTCTCAACTATATTGGCAGAAAAATTATCTCAGGATTTAACAAATAGATTTCTTGAATGTAGAAGACATGTTTGCAGAGATTAAAATGAAAAATCTAAAACTTTGTTGTTTAACACCACACTCAGCAAATTTCCAGCAATATGGTGGGGGTCTGTAAATAATCGAGTCTGGATCCAGTGATTGACATCATGAGCTTTGATCTACGAAATTGGGTTGCCATGACATGCATCAACCAAATCAGCAAGCCTGACCAACTGATCGCCCCTTTCAATAAACAATTGCCTTTTACTGCAGGCTATGATTGCTGAAGACCTATTCTAACCAGGATCTTCTAAACATAAGTACAAAAATAATATTCAATTAAAACATGAAAACAAACTAAAACATGAATGGTGATAAAGCAAGTATTTCTCCCTTTAAATGAATATTCCATTTGTTGAAAGTACATAATCAGCTTAGCACTAATTCCGCAGACACGGTACATGACATTTATTGGGAAAAGAAGTTTTCAAACGAGTTGTTGTGTATCATGACCCGACATCGTTACACCCTATCCAGCATGCCTCACACGCGTCACCTTTTTCCTCCCTACATCACTCCAACCGACATTCCTCAATGATCAGGTAGCCTTGTTTCTCAGCTCGCCACAAGAGCACACAACATATTCACCTGGCGAGCAGGCTAGTCGAACCCCACTATCCGCACAACTGATACTGACGTTCAGGAGTTTTTAAACATCTCGATCAAAATCATCCATATTCTCTACCAGGACAACATAGATTCATTCATGAAGCGTGATGAATGAACCTGTGTTAAAATGAAAGGCAAACAAGCTCTAAAATACATGAATTCTTGAAAAAAATTGTTACAATATACACTTCCCAAGCCATGTGTTCTGGTTCAGCAGCCCTGAACATGCTTTAATAGTACCCCGTGAGCAAGAGCTACAATACCACCATGAATGAATGAAAGAGTGAACCAGCAAACATTTCCAGAGCAATGGCTAGTAATGTCACTATTTTTATGGCCAGTACACTAGTGGTTTTCCAAGTGACTAGGTAAGCAGCACCCTGACAATAGGCACTGTGCTGTGTTCCCACTGAGTTGCCGTCATTGTCGTTACAAAGACTACACATGAGTACAAGTGGCTGAGGAATGCAGATCATTCACCTGCTGGCCACATTGATAGCAGGCTCTGCTAAACAAGGTCACATTTACACATGCCAAGGAAACCCGGATCATAAAAGAAACTCTTGAGACGTCATTTTCATTCTTTCAATGAAGGAGAATAGAAAACAAATTACATCCAGAGTGTTCGTTCGCAGTAACCTTGAAAATGACAATTAAAATAATAAACTAAATGAAACTGTACTTCACACTGCCACGCAAACACTTCTGCTAGGGAACCTTTCCACTACAACTGGCCTTGAACCCATTAGTTATGGCTTGTGCCTGTATAGATGTCAACCTAATTTTATTACCACCAGTTTAGTAAAATGAATTATATACATGATATATCAATAACCATTTGTAAAAAGGGATAACAGCTTTCTTAATTTCAACGATTTAAATATATTAATTGGAACACTACTAGATTTTAAGCAAGGTATCTCAAAAGGAATTTAAATTGAAAATTAAATCTGTTTAAATTAGGAAATGTTAATATACTTGAGTAACAATTGTATGGGTCTGACTAAACAGACTTGAAAGTACTCCATTTCATTTCAGAAAAATAAAAATTAATATGCATACATAGGTTTATCAAAATTCTCACCTCCATTCCCACTCACAAAATTGTTTATTCAACTTTATCCAGTTATGCATTGCACATTAGAAGAGATGTCATTATCTAACTGAACATTCCTATTTCTCAACGCAATAAAGAAATCTACCAGCTCTCCTGCACTTGTAATGAAATCAATGCCCAAACAGCTGCATCCCAACATGTCATCTCAATACTTTACTCTGCTAATCCCAATACCCCCGAGACCTTCTCTTTGCCGCCCAGTAAATAATTGATGTAGCATTCCATGCCTGGATTGCCACGCTCACATATGCAACGCTGTGGAGTACATTATCTGTCTGCGTATTACTTGAAGTCTGCAGCAGCAAGGTACTGACGACGATGTTGTCATTACAGGCGTTGGAGGAGTTGTAACAAGTCCTACGTCTCAGTGTTATGGTTAGTGAAGGTGTGAATTGGGATACTTATCACAACATGAATCATTTGTCAACTCAATGCAAATCAACATCTCCCAATTGTCCTTCAAACATTATCACCATCTTATTGAAACGTACTGCTTCAGAATGAAGTTTCAAAGTCAATTTCTCACAGATGTTATGGAGCGCAATAACTCTAGACAGGAGTGGGCGTTTCTTTCAAAATCACAAAGACATTATCGATTCTGCACTATTTATGACTAGACATAGGGGTTTCATATCTGTTCATTTTCAAGGACATTTGACTGATTGTCATCCAAATGTTATGAAGGGTTTGTTCAAACATGCAAATGATACAGAGGAAAGTCCTCTCAAAAGCTGACAAAAACAATGAACTGTCTAAATGCCACGTCTCCAGAATAATCAATCGACTCTGAAAGGTGTCGACAAGTATTACCACAGTCAAATTTCAATGTTCAATAAATGAAATCTCCAATCAGTTTCACAAATATTTTCAAAGATTTCCAACAACATTCGAACACGAGTTCCCATTCCCCGCCTCTCCCTGAAATGATGCTCTCCGCCAGTAATGAATCCAATTGAGTTAGTAGTGACGATATCCATCACCAAACAAAGTCGTCAGTGACAGAGTTAGCCTGCGATCAATATTCATCTTCATAATTGCTGATAACACCAGGGTCAAGCCTTATGTGGATCAATACAATGGATTGGCCCATCAATGGAAGATAGCAACACACAAACACATGGTAGCTCTATTCCCACATTTAGATTGGAAACACTCAGTAACTAGCAACATATGTTAATTCAGTTCATCTTATTTTCTGTTGAACCGACACTTACACTACATGTATCACATTTAACCTAATAGACAAATCTTTTTATTCTTTTAAGTAATTATCAATTCAGGCTTTTTATTCAATTAAAACTTCTTTTCTTAGCAATAATATTGAAAAATCTAAATCCATAAAGCAATGAACTGATAAAAATCAACCAAAAACAATTGTCATTAACATGGTTAAAAACAAACAAAAAACGACAACATATCATCTGCCATTTCATAACTCTTTGCTGCTTATCTATTTTGTTTGTACAAATGTGAAAAACTGACATCCAAAGGTTTATCAACATTAGCAGGTTTTCAGGTCGGTATTTTCTAGAACACTGACTATTGTCATCCAAAAGGAGTGTATTTTTTATTGGTATAGTTTGTTTGTTGTTTAACGTCACACTTAGCAATATTCCAGCTATATGATGGTGATCTGTAAATAATCAAGCCTGGACCAGACAATCCATTGATTGACATCATGAGCATCGATCCATGCAATTGGGATCGATGACATGCATCAACCAAGTCTGACCACCTGATCCAGTTAGTTGCCTCTTACGACAAGCATAGTCGACTTTTATGGCAAGCATGGGTTGCCAAAGACCTATTCTACCCCGGATCTTCACGGATCTTATTGGTATAGAATGTCCTATCAATATCCGCCAACATCATGAAATATCCTGATGACGTTCTTCTTGAGTAAAGTCACTGCTTTAGACATGTAAGGGCAGCTAACCCATCCACAACAGTCAAGCACTTATGGACAACTGTGTCTATTATCTCTCACCAATTGGAACGTAAAACCTTTCACAACAGAATTCAGCCTGCAGATATGGGATCCCACGATGTCATTAGTGGAAATGTCAAGTCACAAGTTGACAAATGACACATGGGGCTTAATAACTTCTAGCATTTTCCATTACAAAGGCAACATGATGGAAGCTGTTTCAAGATCATTAGCATCTAGTCTTCATGCCCATCACTTACTTATAACATAGATGCCTCAGGCAGAATGTCATAAGTTTAAGTTTGCAGCATACAGATTTTCCATATTTCGAAAGGCCGGTCAAATGACCATAAAACTGACATTCATTGCCGTATTTTGACGTCCGTATGTTTTTTAAGATACTGTATTCTTGAAATGATAAACACTAAGCAAATTGCATAATCCTGGGGAAAACCCAGGGAATTCCCTAGCATGAATAAATAGAGAAGCATAGTTTTGGATCATTTAAACATTTTAATCTTGAACTCAGGGTTTTAGCATACTTCATTGTAAGCCCCAACATTCAAACAGCCTCTGTGAAGGTTCATACTCCAATGAACTTATAAATGAGCTACTTCAAGTGAAACTAACCCTGACCCTTTGTTTATCTATACATGTAATGAATAATTCTGTTAAATAATAGCTCATGTTAATTATATATATTTATTTTCATAAATATTCTGGTTTCATAACTTATTACCCTGTTCAAAACTTGATAAAGAAAAAACAGTTTTTTTAAGCCATCATTTTGTGACAGTGTAAATGAATCTGTTTGGTTCATACGAACCAGTGGTTGATAATCTGAGCACCATTCCATGCCATCAGGGTGTGAATTCAAAGTAATTCACTCAGGCCATCATTGTATCAAGATATTAACAACCAACAACTATTTCGACCACAGCCTGTGCCAAACAAGGAAAAAATTATCATTTGAATGATCTAAAACCTTCACACAAAAAGAATAACACAATCTAAGTTTACTATCCTGGCAGATATGTCCTACGCTGAGACATGAGGCTAGCGCAACACAGGGTCCAGTCTCTATTTCAGCCTCTTTGATCAAGCATAGTGTCCTGGAAATTAATTCCATCCTCAAGTTCCATTCCACTTAGCAATAGCAGTTAAATTGCCTTTAGTTTCTGTTACCAAGACTTCTCTGTACGAAGGTAAAACAAAAATGGTCAAATGGAACCATTGAAGACAAGAACCACTTCACTGAAGCCTTTCCACTTTGCTTTTGATTATAAAAAGAAGTGTTTCAATGCGGCGCAAAAACACCCATTTTCTAGGCCTGTTACAGTAATGTTGTAGACGCTTACCTCCGGTCCAAAGCACTCCCCTGGTCATACGGCTGGACAAACCATTTCCCTAGTCGCACAAAGTTCTTGGACAGCAAACATCTGGAAATAAAAATATTCCAATAGAATTCAAACCTAATATAATCATTTCAGGAAAAAAATAAACAAATTTAAATGTTCATATGACCAGTTTCAACAATAGCTCAGTCAGGGTAAGCGGTACATTTCCTGGAGCATGCATGAATGTTGTTTTACGCTACAGTGACAGTCATCTATGTTACAGCTATATCAGGGTGATCTACCAATAATGGAGTGGGAGACAGACAAGTGGTTGACAGCATGAGCAACAATCCACACCATTTGGGCACAATGACACACAATCAGCCATTGTGATTACTTGACATAATAGTAACAGTACGCTGAGTACAACCCTGCTCAGGACTCAACTCAAGAGACATGTCACAGATTGTTTGAACTCCATATTAAGAAATTTGTTTTCATCCTTGAATTTGTTCATACCAATGCAGCAGAAATTCTGACACCAAACTGCATTCAAAGCTAAATAAGTGGGTCTGCTCATCAAAAAACCATAGTGAAGAAAGCACTACTGCTTCTCAACATCTCCATGACTTCCCAGATTAATTCATGTCATATTTAATTACAAATGACATATGCTTGCGTCACATGGGAGGTAATTCTTAATTTGATTCACAAATTAACGATCAAACATGCACAGAAATTTGAAGAAAATAAATTTGGGCTTGAAAGAGAAAACAATTAGCTATCAGTAAAATAGCCTCATAAAATTCAGAGTGTCAGAGCATGTGTAATAGTATTTTTAAATTTACCCAGGGGGCAGAAATTACATGGTGGGAGGACATAAAGCACAAACAAAAAGCTTTCAAACAGACCTGGTTTCCTTACGTGAACATGATTAAGAACAAGGATTTAACAGCAAAAACTATAATTAATAGAAAAAGAACTTCCTAAAATGTAATCATTAAAGGTTTTGTATGTAACATTTCAAGCTCCTGGTAGATTTGAGTTGCTGGTTTAATGTTAAGAGATAATTACTGACCACAACTGAACATGCCCCCAGCTCTCTAGTGGAAGAGGGCGACATGTGCTGCTAACTGTAGCCATGGGGACATGACATTTAGCAATTAATATTGTCTTGGTGCTGCTGAATCACTTGACAGGCCACAGATGGGTGCTGTTAGCAAGCACGATAACAATCATACTTGTGTTCTTTCATAGCTAGCAAATACTTTCTAGACTGTTGAACTGATACTCATGTATTTCTTCCTAAGATTATACTTCAGCAATATAACAGTTCTCAAACATTTCTTAAATCTTGTCAAAATAGCTTTAAATATTTTTAATCTCAATGAAGAAACAGTCTTGAGTGAATGATATACATCTTGTCACATCTAAAAGCAATTCCACAGACCGACTTAACCAGGAATTGGGAAAATGACTCTGATATGATGAATGGGAAGTTCCACTTCATTTATTTACTGAATATATATACCGTATTCGACGTAATAAGCGCCCAGGGCGCTCTCAAAATTAGAAATAGGGGGATTCTATTAGAATACTATTTTGGTGAAAAAAAAACAGTCGAAAGATAGTTTCGTGGTTTATACTGACAGCCTGAAATGTTTATATACGAGAGAGTAATTTTTTCGGAATTTAATTGCCCATAATTAAGGGTGCATATAACAAACGAGTGCGTATTATATGCGCATAAATAAGTGTTGTGTACATTGATCAATCAGAAGGGGTGCTAATTGGGATTGTTCACTAGCCAATATATTAGCAAATATCGCTGTGGGCGCTTATTAGAGCGGGGCGCTTATTACGTCGAATACGGTACTTCAAACTTGTCATTTATTCTGTGAAATTCACAATATGAAAACAATAACCACTAAAAAATAATAACAATCTTAACCACAATTTCCACAAAAGCTCCTTTCCCCCCTGTCAAGATTTTCAGTTGACCCTTTGAAAATCCTCTCCATAAACCCTTTAAAAATCCTGCATAAACCCTTTGAAAATCCGGCTTTAATATCCAAAAAATTTACACTGGTGTTTTCTTTGTCATTTAAACACTAATTAACAATCATTCAAATTCATGGAAAAAATGTCACTTCAAACCAAAGAATTGCTCTAGAAATCTTGAATCAAATCAATTTCTACACTAGAATAAATGACAATATATGGATCTCATCAAGACAAAACCGATGCTGAGACATGATTTGACTAATTAAAGCTTGCATGGCACGATGTTTGTGAAATTCCTGAGCAACAGCCAAATGTCTGTCCATGAGAGCTGTATGTACATTACATGACAAGTGGAGGGCGGAGCTGGGCAGGTGAAACGTCACCAGCATATGTGAGCAAGTCAAGGAAACGGTCCTGCTAAGCCGTTATCGAGTCTGGCCTAGTGGCAGTGGAGACTCGACAAGGCAAACACTGTCAACAATGACAGTTATGTGCTGTTAAACGCTGGCTACTTCACAGCCACCGCTCTTATTGAGTATCTACAAATAAGTGGAAATCAGTGGTGTTGCTTATGACCACGCAACGCTCAATCAATTAGAAGCTTTTGTTATTAAGCAAACAGAAAAAAACAACATTGCTTCACCTTATTACAGCAAAAACATGAATTATTACTTCGAGACACTTTGAGCAGAGAACATTCAGAACTCTTTCATACATAGGGAAATTCTATGATCTAGGGTTACTATTAATTCATAACTAGCAGAAATTGGCCAATTTTCAGGGCTTTGCTATATGTTATCATTATAAGGACTACCACTTCAAGTCCTTCCAGAATTTTACTAGCCTCAGACTAGAGAACACGAAAATTTTTGCTGTTCCCATATTTTGATAAATCTTTTAGTACACATCACAGCTTATACTTCATTTGCCTGTCACTACTTCCTTCCTCTACGCAGTATCTGAATCTGTTGATGCCAATAGTATTTGTTCCCTGCGTATAGCTGCTGTATAAGGAATCCTAAACCACCATTTCTTTAGTTTTTAGAAACACAACAAAATACGGTCGACACCTGGATATTTCTGACATTACAGGCTAACTTTTTGCCCCTAGTCCCAAGGCATGAATTGTCAATGAAACGAGCATACAAGTTTGCATTCTATACATGCAAATTTTAATGTCTAAATTTGTTATAATATTCTGTTGACAGAAAAGGTGACGAGACAATATTATGTTTGTTTGTTTGTTGTTTAATGCCCCACTCAGCAATATTCCAGCTATATGACGACGGTCTGTAAATAATTGAGTCTGGACCAGACAATCCAGTGATTGAGCATTGATCTACACAATTGGGATACGATGACAAGTCAGCGAGCCTGACCACCCGATCCTGTTTGTCGTCTCTTATGACAAGCATAGTCACCTTTCACAGCAAGCATGGGTCACTGAAGACCTATTCTACACCGGATCCTCACAGGTCTCAAGACAATATTAACTAATACCTCCCACAAGTGTCGTCTTATACAAACAATATTCCAGCAATGGCATAGCTAGGGAAAACCAATTGGCTGCATATTCAATAACCATGTTGGGAATCGAACAAAGGTTCATTGAGTGCTCTTACCACAGAGCTACCACAACCTCCTGCATCATATTCAGAAAATGTTCAAATAACATCGTGAAGACAAAACAATTGCAAACCAGAAATAAAAGGTTTGATCGCAACAAAGCAAAACCAAAGTAGATCTCCACCCCATTGTCAATTTGTAATGAAGTGTATCAACCAAGCTGGTAATACACTTACTTGATTGAGTACAGTGCAGGTATCAAGTGCAACGTAATTAGAGTAATCACTTAACGACGTGCACCAAGGACAATTTGCTCATGAAGTAGTCTTGCCAACTATTAGCGATACTGAACTGCTTTCGCGTTCAATTCTTTACAGTTTACCGAAACCAGAAAAATGTAACCACAAACTAAAGCTAAGTGCTGATCGCAACCTCATACAAAAATATATCACATTTACAATACAAAGGATTTGTATTTAAACATTCAGAAACCTTTTTCTCAGATTTTATAATTACCACTTGGGGCTTGATTTGGCAAGTTTACGAGCTCAACAGAAACTTTACCAGACTGGGGCTTCAGGCTAGTGGTTAAAGGCTGAACGCATAGTGAAGACATGAAACTGCTTCGATGACAACTATGATAAACAAGTTGTCATCCAGAAGCAGTCATGCTGTCCTGTATAACTTCTAAATGCCAATCAAACACTTCTGTATGCATAGGGCAATAAAATTCTATTGAACTGCCAAAAGTTAAACAAGAGACATCTGAAGATGACAAATACCCCCGGACCACACATTAGCAAAAGGCACCACTTCAGTCCCTGGTTATTACATGCACCAAGTTTGGATGAAAACTTTCACGGTTTTCAAGTCAGCATTAGAAACTGGCACAAGTACTGTAGTCCTTGCCAAACTACCCAATAGTTAAGGTATTACAAGGACTAGTAGAAATTTCCCATTTGTAAGGGATTTGCTATATGTTATCATTATTAGGACTAGTGGACTTATACCGCTGCAAGTTATGCTCCAGAACCGAAATACAGACTCAAGAACTGACCAGATGATCACTATATCCCCCCAAATGATATCCTGGGTTTCGTAACTATTTTTCAATTTTGTCTGCGCAAAATATCTGCTGCAGAATTGCTGTCTATCTATTGGCAAAGTGGTAGTCCACAAAGAAATGTCACAAATACTTCCTACATTCCTAATAGCAGACTTATGTTAATTTTTAACCTGCCTTGTTCAAAGTTAAAATATTTAGGGGGTCCATAACATTCAAATAGATAATAACCTTGATGACCCTCGTTAATTTTAACACTGTGATCTAAATTTGCAAGACATGTGAAGAGCAAATTGGCCATAGCTCCATCTAAACCCAAGGAATAAAGAATTCTGTGGAGATGAAAACACTTTATAACTGGATACAACAGCTCAGAGCTATTACAAGATAAGAATCAGACATATGCATTATCACATTAACTTAAAGAGAAATGATACATCCTCGTCAAAGAATGAACAAGCCTCTTGTCAGAAAGAATCTTCCTCAGAACAAGTGCCCCTTAGGTTAATAAGAATTATATATGAATATTATTATCATTCAGGCACTGGGGCTGTTTCCGCTGCATGTTAAACACAACTTGACTACGCAGCTGAGCAGTGTCAATGAACACCTAAACATTTCTACCTTTATTCAAGACAAAATATTGTCAAGCCAAATACTGATACATCGATGATATCAGACCACCTCTAAAACAAATATTACATGATGTGGAAAATATTTCAAAAGGACAACAAGATTCTGAGCCAGCCAAAGGCAACGATACCCAGATCAACCTTCCAGTAATTTATCTATCACTACAAAAACTTTGTCCATCAGAGTAGCTTACAACGAAAAAACATGCAGTTTCTAGATAAACCTGGGTCCAAATTAAAACACAGGAAGGTTTGATCAAACATGTGTGTGGAGTGTCTCACCTTTCAATCAGGTTGTGTAAAGCTTTGAACAACAGCGTCCTGCACTCATATGTCAGCCCACTGTCCTTGTCCTTCTCCTTGTCCCAAGACCCATGCTCCAACTCTGAAATGTACAAGCATCCCTTGTTATTAACATATTCAAAGACCATGCTCCAACAATGAAAAGTACAAGCATTCCTTCTTGTCAACACATTCATAGACCCATGGTCAACATAGAAAAGTACCAGCATTCCCTGCTGTCAAAATTTCAAAGACCATATTCCAACAATGAAATGTACAAGCATCCCTTACTAACAACACATAAGGAGCTATGAAAAGTACAGCTATAGAGCAACCAACCCTCTATATGAGTGAGTAAATGATTTACATTGCAGTCAGCAATATTTCAGCCATATCATGAGAACGTAACCAAGTCTGGACAACCAGTCCAAAAGTACACCAGTGACAGAACGAGCCACAATCCACACTGCCTGGCCATATACTGTAACATATTTACACTGCACACAAATGTAGAGAATGGACGCAGAAAAAGAAATAGAACATCCTGAGGAACGCACAATAATATTCGTTGTATCTACAGCACATCAAGAGCAATTATGGGTGTCTGTTATTTCATCCATCAATCATGGCCATTATACACATGATCATTGATTCATTACAGGTTCTAAAGTAATTACCTTAATGTACAGTACACAAAACCATTTCATTAGTTCACAGGATCTTCACTGCCAACAAGGACCCTTACAGTTCATTATTGTGGGTCTCCTGGTCCCCCACGTTTGTAAGTCAAGGTAAAACTCTGCAAGTGTAAGCACTCACTCCCCATTCTATTGGGCATAATAGCTAACTATTCAATAACATTCATCATTAACCCACCATCCACAATTGAAATGCCCAAGATCTGTATATAAAAAGGTACAAAACAATTTGGATTTCTTTTCCTAAAATAGTTAAGCACTGCATGAAAGTGTTACTTCCACAATAAACACCTTCACAAACATGCGTATACCATTTCTGTTGATAATTACCTCTTAAATATGTAGTACTACAATAATACAAGTGCAGATCATATTTTTCAGATATATTCATATTATGCATGCCCACATGAATAGAATGGGCGAAATATACAAGCAACCATGTAACTCATCTCCTATCTGCATCAAATTTACTTTCATCAGCGACTTTCCAAATAACAGGTACTTTGTTTATGCAAATACTAACAAAACTCATAATAATTTGGCAAGTTAACACAATAGTCATAGGTACCCTATCTTCCCTAACTAAAAGGCAAGTGATACAGCATAACAGCATATTGTACACACACAAGGCTGGTGTATTGTGTCTATAGGTGGCCAGCTCAACATCAGCAGCCGAGGGGAAACATTCCTGCAAGCAGACAGACAGGTGAGGGGAGGGATGGGGGAGAGGACAAAGTGCAGCCCCATTTCCTGTGTATAGGAGGCGGCAACGCTTAGCCAATATTCAGTGGCAATATTCAGGTGTCTGATGAAATTAGCATGTTTGTTGGTGCATCCGACACACCAGGAGCTGATCATGTGTACAGTGGGGGATATGCAATGTTGATGGCATTACCAAAGCAAAAAGTTCCAGTTTGAACATCTTACATATATGTTTGGGAAAGTAAATAACACTTAATTCGTCAAACTGTTAATTGCTACTTTTCTTATATTTGGGTTATTTATAGTCCCTTGCTACTCTAGTTTATTTTGGACAGACACAACATTTACAATCTCTTGTAGATTAATATTTAATGAAAATATTTTACAGAAAAAAACCAGTTGTCAAAAAAATAAGCATAATAAAATGGAGCCCAGAGACTCCATTTTCAGAAGCTGCAGTAATCTAGACTTACCAATTATAATAGATTTGCATTGGCTATATTGGATATATTTGTTTCAGGGTCTGTATGACAAATCTATTGGAATCTGTCCACTATTGAGTGGTCACTTAACCAGAGATTTAGGAAATAATAGATCATATAAATACAAAACATGAAACTAGGATACTGGCAATAGAAAATTTGAAATACAAGGCTCCTATTTTGAAAGGCGTAAGGGTTGAACAATACTATAAATACCATTTTTCCTAAATCTTCAACAATAAATCTTCCCTAACAGTATTAATGATTGCTGTCAAAAAACATTCCAATTTCAAGTGGCATCAAAAACATGATCCTTTCCAAAACAATGATCACCATGAAACACACAACATTTTGCTGCAGAGTAACCCACCACACAATAAACATTCTGGTGATCTTACATGCTCTCATTGCAAACAGAAACATCATACATTTCACCTATCATCACCCATCAACAGGCCGTCATGACATTTGCATTTTGTTACACAAGCCAAGGGCATCACAAAAAACATGTTAGGGGAGAAATTACAGCTATCGTACAGACCTGTTCAACAAGGCCTTATCAATCACGCTACCTTTGAATTACCCTAGCAGCTAATATGAGGGTGTAATCTAGGTCACACACAGCAGCATGCTGGCTGGATGAAATCAACAGGAATTCTAACCAGGCAAGGAGCAGCAGTCAAGAGTGCAGACATTTCTCAATTACCTTGTGAAATACACACCACCTCCAACAGCCAGCTTGCCTGACTTGGGAAAGTGATCACTATACTGCCTGAAGGCAATCAGATGAATTCCAAAATCATTGCAAACATCCATCTGTCGCACTGTCTGTCCAAGCAGTCAATACCAACAGTGAAAACCAGCTCTACATCAGAATCAAAACAGTTTTCTAACATTACTATTTAGTCTGCAGTTAAGCTGGTTCATGAATTTCCTCGAGTAGGCAGAGAAATCTAAACTTGGGATGACTTGTTAATTGCTAACGCTGGTAGTGTTGTGGCAAAAGAATTAGCTCGACATGCTACGACTTTCCACACAGCTTATGGAATTAATCTTCCGAACTGATTCCAATCTAATAACACCATACATTCCCCAATTTCACTTACCATATATTTCTCAGTCCAGAACAGAAACTGATATACCAACATATATAAAATACAGAATTATTTTTAAGACAAGGAAGAATGTATAATATAATAATAATCCCAGCAGATCCAACCAACGATCAACACATTTCAAAACAAACGCCAAAAACATTGTCAACCGTGAAAATAAAACATTCACAACCCAGTGCCAGTAGTGAAATGAACGTATTAACCAAGAACTGCTGCACTATTAGCAGTATCCTTCTCATCCCATCAGTCGAGGCGAAATAATCAAGACATCATTTCCCCAGCCCAACACGCAGCCAGTGCCATTACAGTGGGCCAATACGTTGGTCTTCACCACCGGTCGATGACAGTGACCCGCGTAACACTAGGCAAGCCTAATTGACTATATTTATTCATACCAGGCTGTAGGCTGGCTGCAACGAGTCGACCACTCTTTTTGCCCCAACCTGACCAAAATTCCCCGAGCACCTTACTAACTACACACCTGAACTTAAGAGGCAAGATTGTGGGTAAACAAAATCGCCAGCTAACTAAAGCCGGAGTATCAGTGGACTATGTGACAAGTGCCGACTCCAATCCAGTCTGGTTTTCTGTAACAGCATGTTTATTAATGCCTTGATAATGTTCTTGGCTCAGCATAAAAAAATCAATAAACCAGTGGCATCTAGGACGACAAATGAAAAGCCTCAAGTCTTCATTCCACAATACTTGCATTGATTTCCTTAAGTGTTTGGGCACTGGGATGACGCTCAGATCATGTTTATGCTTGCAGTGTAGTAATAGTAACCGCGTTACATACAGGCACAGCTCCTTCATAGTTTGATTGACAGTGTGCTTCTCAGTATGATCAGATGCCAGCTGGCATACCTAATGATTGAACTCTCACTGTTCAAACCACACGCTGCACATGTTATGGTGAATTATATTTTTCAAACAAATCAGCTGTACAAACTTCAATCTGCGCAGACTACAACCACAAACTGCTTTGGCTCATGAGATGCCTGTGAAATTGACGTCTCTACTACTATACACCAAATGGTCAGAATGTAAGCTCAGCCAAATTCACATCATTGAAAGATCAAACAATACCTAATACAAATGTTTGCTTCAGCAGTTGCTGCACAATGGATGTGATGCTTCAGATCACTGGGCCACCAGCAACTTTCTTTCATCACAAAATAATGGTAGAAATAAGGAGGGTTGTCAATATTTTATTATTTACTGACATTCATGTTAATAAATAATGGCATGAAATCCTTCAACATTTGTCGGGATTTCACGAGAAGAATCTCAAAGAGTCAAATAGACTGATCTGCATATTCAACAAAATTGTATAATTCACAGAAATACACAGAAAATAGCATAATCAAATAACGTAATCCTAATTGTGATGGAAAATAAATCTATCGACAATATCATTTCCATTTCATATCTCAATATTTACATAATTCATTAGGACTATTGCATGATCTATTTACAAATATCTGTCAATAGCTATTCTGAATCATCATACAAATCCCAAATTTGCAAGATACAGACCAGTTGCCTTACAAAATAACACAGCAAGATGTTATCGTTGATGAGAATCTAATATTACCTACCAGTACCCACTGTTTACAGCTTCTATCAAGAGCAAGAGCCACATGCATAGTCACTTGACCCAGATATAACCAACTGCCTTGTGCCTAAGTGGTGTTATAATCACACCAACAGCAATCCACAACTGTCACTCATGTTTCGCCAAACACTGCAATGCAGGTATTGTAATTTTGATTTCATACATTAACTATGTGTCTATCTCAAGTGCCCCAGGTTTTATTGTCAGCTGTTTCACTGGCAACATATGTGTGTGTATTGCTCCTACACAATAAACAGTTGTGTTACGGACATGTACCAAGTTATACGTTTCATCTGGCAATCGATGCAAAATTGAATATGAATTCAACCTCATACTTCATATCAAGTTCCTCTCAAAACAAGTAGAACAGATGTTATTAGAATTTCAAAAAGCGAAAAAATTATCTCTGACAGTTTGATTTCAATTACAAATATCATATCAATTTCTCAAATGTTTCACCTAATTACATATACATAGCAGAGTTAGAAATTAAGGGGTCCTGATGTTGTTATGTTTACTGCTGAGATATTTTTATCTAGCCCCCACCCAAATATAATCTTTTAACATTGGTCTTATGACAAGGACTCCTTCATGCTTAAACTTCAAACCCTGTATAGTGTCAAAAATTGGCACCATACTCAGTTCAAACAACACGATTATTTGTCTTCCTCACAACACAGAATTATTTGTCTTCCTTTCTCAAAGGGGGGGGGGGGGGGCGCCACGGGTGGCCCCGGTGGTCTAAGGCGCCGTGATTCACTGTGCAGAGTTGCGTCCCTTGGGCGAGCCAGAAACCTATGGTTGTGGGTTCGAATCCGGGTTCGCACCGATTATGTTTCTAGGTTTGTCAGCACCGAAGTGGTAAACGTCTGAGACCCTCGTCACTTCGGGCTTTCCTCCCACATTAAGCTGACACGCCGTGATATAACTGGAATACTGTTAAAAGCGGTGTTAAACACAACTCACTCACTCCTTTCTCAAATTCATATTAGTCTAAGTCTTTAAGATGCATACAAGAACAATTCTGAACTTCATCATTCCTTCATCACTTGCTTGATAATGGTGTTAGAACCTACACCGAAACATCGCCCCTAATTGTAATTAAGTTGTTCATCCATATCTTATCCTTACTTCATCATTTCTATTTGTAATGGCTACCTTTGAGAGCACACATCATATCACAAACACTAGACTAATATGAAGCCTAATAAATACATTAGCCAGGAATAGGATAAATAGGTGATCTCAAAATACCCTTAAGCCTCAGTACATTATCAGCTTTGATCTATCAATAGAGATACAGATGATGTTCAAACTGAATGCTTCTGACAGAGATGTCAATTAATCACAAATCATGCTATCTACCGAGATTATCTAACAATCCAAATCGCACATTGATGTACATACTTCAAGCAAGCAATATATATGGTATCTACATAAGCGGATAAAATATGGTTCTACTCAGAGATACACTATGCTGCGATGATTATTCTTGGCAAGACAAATATGCAACAATTCCCAATGGTATCAAACCATGTGTACTTTAAAACAAATTAATTATTTTAAAGATTAATTTTATTTTCCACTGCAAATATTTACTGCTATTTGACACAAAATATTTTGAGCATGCAAGCTCAGATGTTGATACCCTATACAGTTCTTCATTTCAATTGATACTCCAAGCCAGATCCTGATAAGAAGGACTTCTCATACAGTCCTGGATATATAATCAAATCCACATGCAAGTTAATAGATGTCCTGCCTACTAAAAAAGTGCCATGTTTTATAGGGTTTTTTATGCATTTTGTTGTGGTTAAATATGCAATTGGTAAAATATTCTTAACTATGCAGTACCAGTTACTATGTGTTACCCCCTTGTCAATATCCAGGTTAGAACTGATTTTCTGCAACCCATGCTTGTCATAAAAGGTGACTAAAGGGATTGGGAAGTCATGCCCGTTGACCTGACAGATGTATGTCATCATAACCCAATTGCATAAATCGATGCTCATGATGATAATCACTGGCTTGTCTGGTCCACATTAAATCAGAAATTAGAAACTAACAGTTTTAGTCCACTAATCCTTATAATGATAGCATATAGCAAAACCCTTAAAAATGGCAAATTTCTACTAGTCCTAATGATACCTTAACTATTGGGCAGTTTGGCAAGGTCTATAGGACTAGTGCCAATTTCTAACACTGTAAATTATTCACAGTCTGCACTCACCGCAGTCATATATTGCTCAGTGCGGCATTCAACAACAAATACTATGTTACACTCCTTGTCACAACATTGACATTTTCTTAGTTTGGAAGATGTGTAAGAGGAACAAAGGTTTTCAACATAAGCATGTAATATTTCCTTCAAATTTAACCGTAACTTTGTTTATAAGAGTTGGATAACTTGTGAAACCAAATGTATAAAATCAATTCCCTTGCATTTATCTTTTTAGGGCTAACTATCTCCCAAACAGACATCAAGTGCACTGACATGACTTTAAGTACTGGCTATAAAGATTAACTCTAAACATGCTGATATTTATCAAAGTTATCAGTGACTTGACAAAATATACTTATACTTGAGACAATATATACGAGTAACTCGTATCAATACACATTCCATTTTGTCTCAATAGGTATTTCCGATAATGTTTTCAAATTCTATGTATTAAAGTGGTCAATCTTCAAATGTCTTAAAATTGGTCTGAAGTATGAACATACTGATTGATGCCATAACCCCAAACACATACACATGCACAGTGGTGAGCAAGTCTGGTCTGACACTGCTTTGAACAGTGTTTCAGTAATACCACAGTATGACAGCTTGGCATGGGAAGAAAGCCTGAAGTGCAGTTGGTTGTAAATATTTACCACTTTGGCGAAACCCACAAGCACAGGCATAATGCTGATGCTGACACTGACAGACCAAGGATCAGAATCAGAGAATCCTGCGGTTCAAACTCACGAATCAGCAGGCTAGCATCCTGACATCGCTAAGGGACATAACTCTTCACGGCACCTGTAGTCCTATGACCACTATACCACCTGCACCCCCTAACCAGATACATGGGTAGACATCATTGGTCATATCCAACTTGTCCACAGCTCATTTCGGACTTGTGGCTTAGCTTAACAACTAGACACCTAGTTGATTTTTACTTGTCTTGGACTAACGGACTACTTGCTGTATCTATATCTGTGAGATATATAAAACTTGCTGCAAGGTGACTAGCAGTAGAGCCATGGTATACATGTTATCAAATGCTGCTATTTTCATGTATATTTCTTCGCATTACAATCAAGTGTTGGGCACAGGTGCCTTCTCCGTTTGCAGGAATGTAGATAATGCTAAATGTTGGGCATCGTTTCAAGCTTTTATTATAGCGTGCTGAAAACTATCAGCAGCCATTACAATCAGGGAGGAGAGATTTCTCAGGGAAACATTGAAACATCATGGAATGTTTGCACAACTCTTTATTACAAAGGGAGAAAACATCTAGTGTATAAGCAACACAACTATCTGCTTATGATTGCACCTAGCATGGAAAAATAATAAATATTCATGTATATTATCTAACCATGTTTGTTATAATTGAACATGAATCAGCCCTTGTTCTTATATTAGTTTAGAGCAAGCAAGTTTTCTTATTTCTGATGTTGATGGTGACTATTTCCAACCTTCATCAATAACAACATTATGACAACTCAGAAATATATATTGTAGATCTGAATGTAAAGGTTTGAAATAGTATCAGACATTTATATGCCACTTGCCACTTGCAATTTGAATAATGATGAATAACAGCTTCTGTTACTGCGACAAATGTACTTTTCAATTTCAAAACTCATTCATAATTTGTATACTCAGTCTGCCCAAAAACAGTTGAGTCTTATAACCTGTATGTGAAACTTGGCATCAATTTTAGTCAAGTTTATTATTATTTAGGCCATTATAGCAGAACTTGTACTAAATCAGGTTTCAGACAGGGGATCAAAGTTTGTTTGTTTGTTGAACGCCGCACTAAGCAATATTCCAGCTATATGCCAGTGGTCTGTACATAATCCAGTCTGGACCTGACAATCCAGTGATTGACACCATGAGCATCAATCTACGTATTTAGGATACAGTGACATGCATCAACCAAGTCAGCAAGTCTGACCACCCAATTTTGTTAGTTGCCTCTTACAACAAGCATAGTCACCTTTTACAGCAAGCATGGGTTTTGCGGGTGAGGGGGGTGAGGAGCCAAAGATACTAATTTGAGTAAATGAGTGAATGTTGTTTAATGCCACAATCAGCCATATTACAACTATGTGAAAGAGAGCATTTAAGTAAGTTTGCTGCATCAGGATGGGATTACACACGATCAACCAGGTCACAAAACATGACACATAATCCTCACTTCAGACAAGACAACAACAAGCATGGGATACTAGTGATCTAAACATGTCGGTTGTATCTGCAACATGTATCGATACATATCGATACATATCGATACATATATGAAATGTGACTGGTACACGGAAGGGACACTACTCTAATTGTGCAAGTTCGATGAAAGTATGATTATTATTAGTAAACATAACTAAAGCAGTGGCCTTTCACATTTCTTTAATTGTATTCATAAGGATGCATACTTAGTATTGCTATTTTTCTGTTAACATTACTATTGTAGCAGTGTTTGAGTGTTAGACACTTTTGGTCATATCCCACAAGTTCACAGCTCATTTGGGACATAACTAGATTTTGTAAGACAACTAGTCCTTCATTAATATTACCCATGGGTGCAAACTTGTCAGAAAAGTTGTCATCAAGTAATTCACATAAACATTGTGGATAATTTAACCCAAAAATAACCCTCCCCAAAATGTAAAATATTGAGTACTTTTGTTATTGCGTGTTTTGATGACCTCTCAAGAGTCCCTACGACCCATATAACAAAATGATTTATCACTTACTTCAAAATGTTAATACAACAAAACCAAATTCAAAGTTTGCTGTTTCAATGCCCTTTTCAGTTAATAATCTCACATTAAATAAACAAATGGAGAAATACATCTATAATAATTTGCCTTGAGACCAATACACAATTTCATGTATAACATATTGATCTATTACATGCAAAAGAAATAGGCTGACCCATGTCAACTAAAGAAAATTAACTGATCTGTCAACATGACCTAATTAAAATGTCACAGCGTTAGGAGTGTGTATAGGCAATTAACTGCCTACTGCCTGGATATTTACCAGTGTGTTTACTGCTGTGCCATGCTTGTGTATTGGTGCAAGAAACAGGTGAAGTGAACAACAGTACAGGTGCCTGACATGTGATGCAATGCACAGCCACCTTGACATGCTGTCAATCATGGGGAGTAAACACTTACCCTTTAGGTCAGGGGATAGAAGGTTGTCGATGCCGGTCGGCTCGTCTCCATACCAAAATACCCACAGTTCTTTGCCAACTGACAACTGCTCCGGGGATCGAGCTTCCGAATTTTTCACTACTCGTCTCCAAACACATAGTAAACCACTTTGAATACAACGTGCATAGGAAACAAGCACTGGATCCTCGAGTTGCTCCACCGATACATTGTCCGGATTTGAAGTCAATTTACGCCATTTTATGCCACCAAGATCCGTCTAGACAACAAAACAGAACAAATCAGTAACCTTCATCACAATTCATGCATATCGAATAGCATATCATCAAACGGTAGCGTTATGTAAATACATTTCAATATTTAAACACTGATTGATTGCGATTTGCTAATCGCTTGTCTATGAGCACGGCCAGGTGACATCGCTTCGAAACGTTTGTAAATATGTTACAGGGTATCTAAATTGGGAAACGAAGCATGAAAAAGGTAATGTGAAGGGTAGAGAATTGGCCAATATTCGCAAATACCGAAACATTACAGCAGGAAGGTCACGCAGCACGCGATTAGACGCAAACAATAGCCGACACCGGATAATACTCATTTAAATCATATCTTACCAAGGCAAACAAGTTTGTGTAACAATCCTCCAGAGAGCAGCCGTTTCCCGTTGGACTAGGGTGACTCATGGTCACTCCATGTTCTGAAAAAGACCACGTATATCCTGAATTGCTGCTATAACATCCACTTAGCCACAAATCGAGAAAAATTTGTCAATTAACAGATACTTCGCATAATATGGCGACAGTAATGGCGACTTGCTGCGAACAACAAGGCGGTAAGGAGAACGCGCTGCCATTGGCTGCTTCCTGTCACATGCTCACGGGTCGAGCGGAAACACTATTGTCTATACGGCTACTCAAATAGGCTTCAGACCATGCTGGTAGTACTCTGGTGACCACGCCGGTAAACGTGAGACCACGAATGTCAAGTTTATGTTTCATTTTTAAATACATAATATGTACATATCAAAGAACTCCTAAAATTAATTAATTCTATAATCATTTATCTTTGAAATATGAGTTATAGTGAAACCATTTAGGCATGATTTTTTCCCATTGCTGTAAAATGGTATGCATGTCATTAGCACTAAAATGATCGTACTGTAAACCTACGTAATTTCGTACGAACATATTTGTGGGGTTTTCTTTTCATTTCCGGGATATAAATCATATATTTTCTCAACAGAATTCCTATTGTTCAAAGCGGGTTTGAATAGGACAAATGAGATGACTGGATCATATTTACCCCCCTCGACGCGTGTGTTCATTAAAAGGCGGTTAAACTCATTTCAATTACTCGTAGGGGTACAAGTATATTGGAAATAACATACATGGGCATCGCAAATTGAAATTGACAAATTAGTTTCTAAGTATTACAAATTCATTAGGGATTCAGAACTAACAATTTTTTTAACAAATTTTACAATTTCTTCCTTTTCATCAAACCTTTACAATTGTAAATTGTCACGTTTAAAGTGTTTAGTTTCACGATTTCAGTCAAGATACGAGTCAAAGACAAATATTCAACAATTGTTATGTAAGAAAATACATGCAAAGTGTACAACGATACTATTTAAATCTATAAACAAAAATACATAATAATTAAGCATACACAAATCAACCAGCTTTGTCCTGTGCACGTCAGTCAAGTACAAAATATATGTGTTTTGATTGCTACTTTAATTCATTATTGAAGGTGTGACAAGCCCACGTGCATTCCATGGTAAACCCCTGCTGTATACAAGCATATCAACTCAACGCCGAACCGCCGGCTATCCCGGGCTAAGTAAACACACCAATCACTAATCCGATCATCGCGATTGATGCACACTACAAGTAAACTGCCGGGCAATATTACAAATTACCAACGTTACCATACCGTTACTAGGCGAACGATGCGAAGATGCAAAACCCAAATATTTGACACCCCCATCAAATACATCACTATCGACAATAACTATTTCTTTTTTTATTCTTTTTTTATCAAAACAAGGGAATATACTTTCTTTTGCCAGGTAGTTTATTTTGTGTTGTTCATTTCAAGTGCACTTGCATGGTGAAAGTATTGACAGAGTGCATCTTAATGTGTTTTTAACATGAAACTAAAGGCGTTAAAACACTTCTTGTAATGCAATCGTTCGTGTTGAGCTGGGCCGCTATCCATTGAAATTTATCCAAATGTAAAGTATGATAATTATTTGTGTCAAATGTTAACAACTAATGATGTATATGAAAGGTGTTTTATGATTATAGCGAGCAAGTTATGATTTACGCCGCTTTTAACAGTATTGCGGTTATATCACGGCGTGTCAGCTTAATTTGAGAGGAAAGCCCGAAGTGATGCAGGTCTCAGACGTTTACCACTTCGGTGAAACCCACGAGCACGGTGCTGACAAACCTAGAAACATAATCGGGGCGAACCGAGATTCGAACCCACAATGATAGATTTCTGGCGTGCCCGTGGGACGCAACTCTGCACAGCGAATTGCGGCGCCTTAGATGACTGGACCACCCGTGCCCCAGTTATGATTATATGCTTGAAGAGATTGAATGTATAGGAACAAAAAAATTGAGCATATCAGGTAAAACATTTATTAGTAAACATGTTTTTTTGTATATGGTACAAGCAGGTGATGTGTCCTTGATATCTGTCAACAATTCAACCAGAGGATTATATATAGAAAGGCTATACATTTGTCAGAGTCAATTATTTGTGTAAAATTATCTAAATGTAAAATGTATGTAAATCTTCTAGACTCTTTTAGTTTAAAATACTGTTTGAGGAATTCAATAACAAGAGCATAAAACAGGTTTCAATAGATCTAGACTACCATACGTTATTTGTCTGTTGATTCTCGAAGATATCCACAATTAGATGTGGATTTTGTCCTTTCTGTATACATTATAGAGAAGAGTGAATTTTGTATTAATTTACCCGGTATTATCATCGTAGGAATCTGTTTATCAAATGATACTATTGGGATAAGCCATCAGTGTTTTAATTAACGGAGGTGTTTAGTATATAGAATGTTAATCAGTTTTATGATTTAGAAAACACCTTTATAAACCGTGTCAATTAAGAAGTGAAACAGCCTAGTTCTCTATATTATCCCTGTATGTAATTACTGTATCCTCTACCAACCTATTGAACACGTTTTGTTTGTTTGTTGTTTAACGCCACACTCAGCAATATTCCAGCTATATGACGGCGGTCTGTAAATAATCGAGTCTGGACCAGACAATCCAGTGATTAAAATCATGAACATCGATCCACGCAATTAGGATCGATGACATGCATCAACCAAGTCAACGAGTCTGACCACCTGATCCCGTTAGTCGCCTCTTATACGTCAAGCATAATCGCTGCTTATCACTGCTTATAGCATTGATTGCTGAAGACCTATTCTTACCCGGATCTTCACGGGTCCCATTGATCATGAATTGATCTTGATAAACTTTATAGTTTTAAACTCAATATTGAATTGAATTGAATTGAATTGAATTGAATTGAATTGAATTGAATTGAATTGATAAATTGTGTCTATCTTGTGAATTGAATTGAATTGATAAATTGTGTCTATCTTGTGAATTGAATTGAATTGAATTGAATTGAATTGAATTGAATTGAATTGAATTGAATTGAATTGAATTGAATTTACATATGTGTTTAAATGCTACAACCATTCACCATTCAAGGTGTGACAATTCAAGCCGACATGTATTCCATGTTAAATCACTGCTTATACAGGTGTATATCAACTCAACGCCGAACCGCCGGCTCTCCCAGGCTAAACACACCAATCACTAATCCGATCATCGCGATTGATACACACACCACCCACCAGCTTGCAGTTCACGCCTAATGAATACACAGCGACATACCCGCTTGTTGACATGTGGACTTCACGTCATCATTTGCATTATGCTGCAAGACGTGTATATATACTCTGACTGCATGCATGCAGAGCTTTGCTAAAGCTGCATATTAGCTCAGGCCCATAAAGAACCCTGCACGCACAACCTGACGTAACGGTAACTGTTGATATAAATTATAACATAGACGTTGCGTAAGTCAGCAATCATTGTTTCCATAAATCTCCGTGTGTGAATTATTCTATAATATTAATACAAGACATTTTTGTATGAATAACAACTTCTTTTACTCTTTTGGAACGACGTTTCGGAGCTACCCCTTGCCCCTGTATCAGGTGAATACTTTATTCCATAATATAGTGAAAAAACAACAACAATAAAAACAGTTTTTACGAAGCATATTATTTTGTTACGGCAGTTTGAATTATTAACTTCCTGGTAAAAGGAACGTATACACCATGTTTGAAGGTGGCTAAAGTGAAACAAACATGAAATGGTTGTTATTCGATGATGATGTATTTCATACGGGTATCATAGTTGTGTTTTGGGCATTAATTCCCGTTTCGACGACTGTTTTCAGCCTAGTAACGTTTGATGACGTTTGTAATCTTTTGTCAAATTCAATTTTTTTGGTCCTGCAGTAAATATTATATATAAATTGCTTTATTCCAAATCACAAATTAAACTGGATCTGTGAGTGGTATTAATGTGAGGCAACATATTCCATCTGACAGTTCATTCATCAAATATTCAAACATTCACACCCATTAGGGTAAGAATGAAGGTCCCCTGAAACCTATACTTGTCCTAAGAGGCATCTGGTCCAGCCTCGATCACCTACAGACCGCGTCACGCCGAAGACCGGGTTCGATTCCCGACATGGGTGCATTGTGTGAAGCCAACCTGTGGTGTCCCCCGACGTGATATTGCCGGAATATTGCTAACAGCGGCGTAAAACCATACTCACTCACTCACTTACAGACCGCCGCCATGTACTAGGAACATTGTTGAGTGCAACAATTTTAAATGAATCAAATACTCACCAACATTATTCACATACAATATGTTATGTCAATAAGGTCCAAGAAAGGGATGAGGTGAGGTGAAATGGTTCAATATTATTGCACACATACACGTGCATGTACGTGTGTGTTCATGCGTGGCTGCTTTTACTAGTCAGGACTAATGTCGGGTTAGTAGTGCTAGCCCAATGAGATACCATGCCGCAGTTTAACATGGGTACCAAACTCAGACAGAGTTGGACTCCGAGCCGACCAGTCCTTGTTTTAACCCCTAATGCCGAGTGCCAGTCAGGGTAACAACAAGTACCTTCATTTAACGTCTTTTGGTATAAGTGAGTGAGTTAAAGTTTAACGTCGCATCGTATTTTTCCCCGCCGTATAGCGATCTTTTGGTATAACGCCACCGGGGATCGAACGCTGACTTTCCCCTCTCCAGACAGACGCCATATCCACTAAGCGGAGGCGGTCCCCTAGAGTGAGTGAGTGAGGTTTTACGCCGCTTTTAGCAATATTCCAGCAATATCACGGCGGGGGACACCAGAAATGGGCTTCACACATTGTACCCATGTCGGGAATCGAACCCGGGCCTTCGGCGTGACGAGCTAACGCTTTAACCACTAGGCTACCCGACCGCCCCTGTCCCCTAGAGAGGGGAATGAAACGATTCAACACAAACGATACATTTGTAAATTATCGTATACCTAGATTTAACACATATAGTATGGAACGTATAACTTTGTTGATAAACATAATGACGCTAAAATAGTACTAACGTCTATATTATTCCTGTTACTTCTCTATTCTCTCTCTCTCTCTCTCTCTCTCTCTCTCTCTCTCTCTCTCTCGGGTCCTCGGCATGACGAGCGAACGCTTTCACCACTAGGTTACCCTACCTTCGG